TGGGAGTACAATTCTAGCTTGTGTTCGAAGTGTGGTGATATTGCCTTCTGGCAGTCAAATGGCTTCTTTAGAGTAATGAGCATCAGGTTCAAATCTCATCACCCTGTGGATGATCAACAGCTGTTAATAAATGTTTCAGAAAAGGGTCAAGCATGTACAGTGGAAATGAAAGCTAAAAGACTCATCATTTACTTCTAATGGAAACGCCAAGTTTCATTTATAATTTAGATAAATGATCTGATAATTCACTAAGCTAGCAGAATTTCTAGTTGCTATGTAAGCATGGGAACTTATTTTCTATTGTTAATTCAGTGTATTCACTGTATTATTAGAATTAGTTTGAAAGAAAATGGCAAAGTCTATATCAGGGGTATTGAATTAAAATTTACAGCTACCCAGTCAATGTTTGTGCGATGACTTTGATCCTTCTCATCATAGCCCCCTCTTCTCTTAGGCTAGGTTCACATCTCTGCGGCTAGGGAATGTGTGCGAAATCGCATGCATTCCTGACCCACAGAGAAACATGCTGCACTGTAGCAGATATGTGGTGGTGTCATTAATTCTTAATGGCTCCCCTATACATTGGTATCTAAGGCACATTTTTGTGCTCGCCAAACCGCATGGTGCAGCACGATTTAAAAGAAAAAGGGGGTTCTTTCCCTGCATTTCTCGTGGGTAGGGCAGCCCATGAAGAAATGTGAAGCGCAGACCTAAACTGAGCCTTATATCAAAATCCCTTTCTTACATCAGCATCCTCTGTCTCCCCTTCACATCACAGTCCCTCTCCTTTACAGTACTGTTCTCAATTCACCCCCCAACCACACATTACTGTCCTCAGCCCTCCCTCCCCACACTAAAGTCCCCAGCCTCCCTTCACATTGCCCTCCTCCCTGGTGCTTTAGAATAGTGGCAGTGGTCTGGGTAAGTTCCTATGGATGTTTTTTTTATCCTACAAGGACAGTGAACAGACTTGACCCTGTTGAAGGAACGGGGATGGCCTGTAAACTTCGTTTGGCACTGAATCTCACATGTGGCGCTAAATTTGGCAGGTAGTTGCATCTGTGAGGTGGCCCTGGACCTGTAAAGCACGCTATCAGCTGAGTTCTATTGTGGCACAACGCAATCCCTGAAGAACCAAATGGGTATGCCAGCCCTGGAGAAGGTGAAGAGTGAGCTGGGTTTTCAGTTCTGTTGCATGTATGTGTAAGTGCCCCTATGTTGGGGGGTCCCATGGTGTTGTCTCCTTTCTGTACTGGTTGCTGCTAGAGGATGCTGTGGACATCCGATAGTACACGGCATCTTCTACCCTGTTTGCATGCAATTGGCTTCATGGACACCTGTTCTCTGCTTAGGCATGACCCAGCAACACCCCTGCACACGTGGCAGCACCCACTACACAAGTGTGACCGTCTCAAGCCTTTGCTACCGCACAGAAGCAGGCAGGCTCCATTTTGAAATTTGCACTTTTACTTTGAAACATCAGCCAAACAGGACAACTTGTGGAAGCTCCTACACAGCACAACATCACACGATGGAGGACAGTTTCTGCAAAAAGTGGGCTGTCCCTGCTACGAACCTTATGGTGTTTTTACTTGAATGAAACCCTTACTGTACTGGTGGACGATGTACCACTGTTTAAGGACTTTGTTCACCAAAAATTTGGCTTAAATGTTTATTCCTAAAATCAGGAGAGGAAAGAGCACTCATTAACCGCTAAAGCAGTGTCAGAATTTTGTCTTGGTCTGGAACAAGCAATGGTTCCATTTTATTCCTTTCATAAGTCAGGGGCAAAAGCGAAAACTTCTTGGAAAAAGTCCTGCAGCCCCAAGCTCAGTAAGAAAGGCAGCAAAGCCTCTTCTGAAAAAAGGGTGCCTCCTCCTGTAAGTGGGGGAATGCTTGATGGCCTTTGCGGCCATATTTACCAAAGATATCATAAACGTATGAGTCTAGAATGTTGTATCCAGAGGCTACAAGTTGGCCGCGATGAACTAGGTCTGTAAGGTGGCCACTTGGCCCTCTGCTTATGTATTTTTCTAGGCTAACCTTGGTTAGAAAGTTCTGCAGGTGGCCCTGTATAGGGCTTGTCATTGATTCCTTTTCTTAAGGTAAGAGGATGGTTACTGTTGGGCCTGTTAGCTGTTGTCTCCTGTTGGCTGCCCTTCATGGGGTTGCTTTTGGACATGCCAGTAGTCTTAACTGTCCTGTGATGTAGGATTATGAAAATAAGATGGTTGACTTACCTGTGAAATCCTTTTCTTGGAATACATTGCAGGACACAGGCCTCTCCCCTATGGATTCACTCAGATTGCTTGCTGACAAAGTTGAGGATATACGGGCAGTGGGAGTAGTTATACTAGTAGCTGTCAAGGTTTTCTATTTCCCAGTCACCTGGAGGTGAAGCATATCCAACAGTTTAACGCTAGCCATACATTATACAATTTTCTAGTAAAATTTTACTTTAGATTTACCAAAACCATATAATGAGGTCAAACCTAAACACTTTCATTTTGTATGCAATCAGGCAGGCTCTTGCACTACATAGTTTAAGGTAAATCTAAAGGAAATTTGAAAAGGAAAATTGTATAATGTATGGCCAGCTTAAGAAATCATTTTACTGGTATGTCCAATTTTTCACATTATTAAAGATTACTGCTGCTTCTGTTTAGTGTGAAGTTTTTTTGTACTGTATGAGGAAACAATATTTACAGTGTATTTCCTCCTGTGTTTCATAAATGGTGAGAAGCTGGATTGAATGGATGATGCAATAAAACAGATTCACCAATACATTATATTTGTATACTGTGTATTGATTTGCTGATAATAAACTGATATGCGATTGAGAAGCCAATGAAGTCTAGAAGCATACTTTAATTTCTTAGGAACAAAACAATGGATCATTCTGCTTGCAATGGTCAAGCAGTTAATATGCATGTGATAATAACCTTGGGAAATATTCAAAAGTTCTCACTATTGCTTCAAAAGATTTTCCAGCACATTAAGATATCCCTGAGGTCTTGAAATTACAACTCCAGCCAGACTTTTTTTTTTTTTTTTTTTTTCTTGATTTTGATCAACATATGGAAAGGTTAGGAACATTGTTTCTTTACAGTTTTTTTGTCCCTGTTAAGGAAGATCTGCCCTTACCATTTGTCTTGGTGACAATTGTCACTCAGACAGAAGGGAGAGGGTATATCTGAATTGCATGCATATCATGGCAACAGGTTAAAAGAGACATCTTCCAATAGGTAGAGCTGTTTAGTGACAACTGTAAGGATATCATTTGTCCTTGCTTTGGGGAAGTTTCACTTACTTTCTGTAAAATCATGGGACTGGAAGTGAATGGAAATCCTTTCTGTGGGGACACAGAAATAAACACCTAACCCTTCCATACAATATCTAAAATTCGAAAAATACATTTTGGTTGAAAGTTCTACGTTTTAAGGAACTCTTCTCCCTTCCCTGTCCCTATTTCTTTACATTCTGTAGACAATAATGTAGAGTGTACAGTGTATAAATGATTGCTTTTGATTATAGCCCTCTTCTCCCCAAGCTGTGAAGAAAAATGCATCATCTGTTTTACAAGCATATTTAGCCTCCATGGGATTGTTTTCATGTGTTAGCAAAATGCATGGACATGCTGTTGTATACAGTTTAAGCAATGCTCTTGAAGTATATATTAAAGGTGTATAAAATGTATAGCACTGCATCAGAAATGTGCCAAAATGTATGTGAGTGTTTTCTGTGATACTTTGTTTTATTTTATCCATAGAAGAAAAGAAGGGGAGTAATTTGTTAAAAAGGGTGTAAAGTTAGAACATTTTGTTTACCTGAGTGCATTCCCTGCATTAAGGTAAAAAATGTTTTTGCCACCTGATTCCCCCCCCCCCCCCCCCCCAACACTTACCAGAGTTCTCTCGATCCAGCTATGTTCCTGGCTACAGCTCTTCTCTCCGCTCTTCCCCTATTATTATTTTGTTCTGTGTTTTTGGTGCATCTTCTGTGCACCAAAGATGCAGCATGATTTGGTGTGCTTTCAGAAAGTGCACTAAAGATGTGGGATGTTATTCTATGGGAAACCACGAGTAACCTGCATGAAACCACGTGTACACTGTGCTGCAGCAGGGCAGTGTCAAAGTGCCCTGTGACCGCAGCGGGAGGTTCTGCCATTCATAGCCTGTTTTATGCCCCTCCAGCCTGTGTTTATTGTTTGTGCTTAGAATTACAGGGAGACGAAGCCTCCATCAATCAACGTGTAATATCCCGCTCCCATAGTTTTTTTAGCTATTCAATGGCTATGGAGGAGGGAGGGTGTGGTCTGTTTTTTATCCAGAGTGTATATACCCACATGTGTGACTCCATGGTCACATGTACTGCAGAGATGAGGGAAAAGAAGGAAAAGAACAGTTTCCAAGGAAACTGAAACTGGAGCATGCTCAGTAGTGGTGGCAACTGCTGGTCTACACAATCTTGGGCTGTAGCAGGGATACAGACACTAAGGTAGGGACAGTGAACAGCGGAATCAATCAATCCCGTGACTGAGTATGTACTGACAGATTTTAATGATGTGGGTTTAATGACACTTTTAAAGCAGTTGTAAAATTGTTGCCAATGCCTCCTGCTGTTCTCAGCCAAACCTGAGAGAGAGGGGAGAGAAGACTGCAGATGAGCACAACGATGGATCGATACAGGAAACATGCAAGTATTTAGGGAAGGGGAGGGGGGGGGGGGAGGACAACAGTTACTGAAAGGCTTTTTTTAATTTATTTTTTTAAATTTTTTTTTTTTTTAAAGGTAAAAAAACCTTATGCGTTTTAGAACCACTTTAAGCAGAGCTTTAATTTCACAATTAGTGTGGAGATCTGGATAAAGGTATGCAGATATCAGTTCTCCCTTGCTCTTGATATCTTGCTCCCTTGCTCTTTATTATCAACCATAGTTTTATTTCCAAAGCAAAACTAGCTGCAAGATTTTAAAGACATATTACTCTTTTACCTTTCTAGGACTGAAGAATCTACCGCACAGCAACCATCAAGGGGACAGTCTCAGAGCAATGGCTCAGGTATTTCTGCATTGAGATATATAAAAGCATTATTTCAGTGATTTAACCATTAAGCAGCACTCTTTCAAGCTTATATTTTCTAAAGTTATGATATTTATTGGAATCTCTAAATCTAGCCTTTAAATTTTGTATAATTACGTGTTGCATGTGAAACTAGGAGGGCTAATATGCCCATCGAATCCTAAGCCAAGCAGCCAGAGATATTTGCTGTCTGTATCTACCTCACCTTAAACTAAGTGATCCTCTAGGGCCTATTTCACTTGAGCTTCAGTTCATGTAGGACTGTGGAACTGTATGGGCAAAGTGTTACTGAGATGGGCACATTTTTACACCGTAGTTTGTACAGATTATGCATACAGACACCAAATTAAGGGTTTTTTTTAAAGGGGAATTTAAGACTAAATTATAATGTTTTTTGTTTTGGCAATCCTTATTTTCAGCCATGTGGCCATTCTTTTCAGCTATCATTGCTGACAAAAAAAGGCAATATAGCTTAATACCTAGCTTTACAGTTTAGCAAGTTGAGTCTGTTGTGTTAAATAACTCAGTCCCAACTTAAAACCTTTTGGGGAAAATATCTAAATGTAAGATAGTTAAGAGAGCTTTTGCAGCCGGTCTCCCTAACTACTTGTTTGTTTTGTATTATGTATATTGCATATACAGCATAACCCCTTATTTAAACTTTGTAGTTGAGTGGCAGTTGGGTACACCAGTAAATGCACGTTTATTTTTTTTTAAAGTAAGATGTACAGTGGGGATCAAAAGTTTGGGCACCCCAGCTAAAAAATTGTGTTAATGTGCATAAAGAAGCCAAGGAAAGATGGAAAAATCTCCAAAAGGCATCAAATTACAGATTAGACATTCTTATAATATGTCAACAAAAGTTAGATTTTATTTCCATCATTTACACTTTCAAAATAACAGAAAACAAAAAAATGGCGTCTGCAAAAGTTTGGGCACCCTGCAGAGTTAATATGTTGTACTGCCCCCTTTGGCAAGTATCACAGCTTGTAAACGCTTTTTGTAGCCAGCCAAGAGTCTTTCAATTATTGTTTGAGGTATCTTTGCCCATTCTTCCTTACAAAAGTCTTCCAGTTCTTTGAGATTTCTGGGCTGTCTGTCACGCACTGCTCTTTTAAGGTCTATCCACAGATTTTCAATTATGTTGAGGTCAGGAGATTGTGAAGGCCATGGCAAAACCTTCAGTTTACGCCTCTTGATGTAATCCCCCGTGGATTTTGAGGTGTGTTTAGGATCATTATCCATTTGTAGAAGCCATCCTCTCTTTAACTTCAGCTTTTTCACAGATGGCATCAAGTTACCATCCAAAATTTGCTGAAATTTTATTGAATACATTTTTTTTTTTCTACTCGTGAGATGTTCCCTGTTCCACTGGCTGCAACACAACCCCAAAGCATGATTGATCCAACCCCATGCTTAACAGTTGGACAGAGGTTCTTTTCATTAAATTCTGTGCCCCTTCTTCTCCAAACGTACCTTTGCTCATTCCGGCCAAAAAGTTCAATTTTAACCTCATCGGTCCACAGAACTTTTTTCCAAAATGCATCAGGCTTGTCTATATGTTCATTTGCAAAGTTCAAACGATGCTTTTTGTGGTGAGGACATAGAAGAGGTTTTCTTCTGATGACTCTTCCATGAAGACCATATTTGTACAAGTATCTCTTTATAGTGGAATAGTGTACCACAACTCCAGTGTCTGCCAGATCTTTCTGGAGGGATCGTGCAGTCAAACGTGGGTTTTGAATTGTTTTTCTCACAATCCTGCGAGCTGTTCTGTCTGATATTTTTCTTGGTCTTCCAGATCTTGCTTTAACTTCCACTGTTCCTGATGACTGCCATTTCTTAATTACATTCCGAACAGAGGATATTGACATCTGAAAACGCTTTGCTATCTTCTTATAGCCTTCTCCAGCTTTGTGAGCATCAACTATTTTCAGTTTCAGTTTTCTAGACAACTGCTTAGAAGAACCCATGGTGCTGATTGTTGGGGAAAGGTCAGATGAGTCTGGGCATTTAAAACCTTTGAGATTGACATCACCTGGTCTTCCCAGACGATGATTGAGAACAATCCATGACACTGGCAGGTCTCAGCTTTGCAAAGGAGGAAGTGCATGCTATAAATTCTGCAGGGTGCCCAAACTTTTGCAGACGCCATTTTTTTGTTTTCTGTTATTTTGAAAGTGTAAATGATGGAAATAAAATCTAACTTTTGTTGACATATTATAAGAATGTCTAATCTGTAATTTCATGCCTTTTTGGAGATTTTTCTATCTTTCCTTGGCTTCTTTATGCGCATTTAATACAAATTTTTAGCTGGGGTGCCCAAACTTTCAATCCCCACTGTAGCTGACAGACGATGTTTCACTTGCTCTTTTAGATAAGCACAGAAAGCAAACCATGTGCTCCAGAGTTCAGAAATGGTTTTACGACCGATTTGGAGAATACATTGAGGATTTCAGATTTCAGCCAGAAGAGAGCACTGTGGAAACAGAAGAACCACTGAGTGCAAGAAGGTAAAATCTTGTCCTTAATATAAATCAAGCAACATCTATCACATTTAACATGCCATTATGTAATTATTTATTGTTCTCTATTGCATTCATTGAGGGACATAGGATTTAGAGACAATTTTGAGTTATACTGCTCCCTGCAGGATGATTTGAACACTGGTAAACAAATGACTAGCCTAGCATAACCCCCCTTTTTGTTTTTTGCTAGTGTCCTAAGAAGATGGATGACTTCACTTAGAAATATGTAACCGTTCCCCCCCCCCCCCCCCCCCTTTTTTTTTCTCTTCAAATCTTTTTTTTATTTATTTATTTATTTTTCAATCAAGATCTCATCTACCCACTGCTTGAGCTAGTCTCTTATACAGCTATCCAGGTTGTACCCTCAGCAACAGCTATGGAGGCAATACTTGCTGCACTGATTGCTTTCCCTGCTTGGAATGGGACCTTTGGACATGGTGGTGTTATGGCCTAGAATTAAGGAAACCACATTCCTTCCCAGTGTGGTTCCAGCTTCCCATTGTGGTTTAAGCCTTTCACATTAACCAGGATGCGATGCTCATCTGTCTGGCACCAGTACATCATCCAATAAAACAAATCCCCAGCTACTACACTTAGACTAACTCAAGCCTCCTTGATACAAATCTATACCTACAGTATATCATTGAACGTTGCACTTAAAGGAAAGCACACACACGCACGCGCTCGCACCCCGCTGCCTCTTGTGAAATAAAGTGCAAAAGTTTTGTATATCACTAAGATCTGTACTGATGCCTTTCATCTAGTGATGTCAGAGGGGGCAGAGCTTCAGTTGAGCTACAGCAGGCTTTTTGTGGGCCAGGGGGTGATTAGGAGAAATGCTGTCAGGAGAGTTCTTTATCACAATTACATAGTGCTGGGTTGCACATGCCTAATGTGAGGTTTTTGTTTGTAGTTCTTATAATATATGGTTTTAACTATTGCAGTCTTTGCTTTCTTTGATCCACATTGGTTACCCGGTACCTGGGGAGGTGCAGTTCAAGTTGAAGCAGGATCCAGGAGTACCTCCAAAGAGGTCTTGCAAAGCATTTTTACCTTTCCTTCAAAGTCAGTGGCATTTACATTTTAGGTGGAGGGTGTGTACTCACTTGAAAATTCAATGTTATAATGAGATGACTCAGTTTAAGGTTTACTGGGCATAATAATGACTTTTAGTTAAAGTGGGACCTTTGTTTTGTTATTACCACATTTTTTTTACCCAGTGGGACTTTCGCATTTAGATTTTTTGCATGTTTTAGTGGTATGCAGAGTTTTTGCACTCTATTTGGGGTGTGGTGGGTTTTTTTTTTTATATGCTTATAAGCGCTACATTCTTTAAAGGATAACTCCACTTTCATGAAAAAAAAAATATTCAAAAAAGAATGGTGGCGTACAGAACGTCCTCCAGAAATGTCATTTCCTGTTTGTGTGATTGTCTTATTGATTTTCACAGAAGTCCATTAAGATAAGTCACATTTTGGGCATCCCCTGCAAAAAAATTTCATTTTTGATGAGATACTTCCAAAGGAAATCACATCTAAAGGGATGCAGATCCTGCAGTTCTCCTCAGAGCCCTGCAAGTGCAGCAGCTGATTGTTAATTATTTAACCCCTCCCATACAGAACATGGACACAGACAATCAGCTGCTCCTTCAGAATAACAAAAGGTTGGAATCTGCAACAGTTTGTTAAAATCCCTGCAATGTACATAGATCACCCAGTGGGGAATGCTTTTTTCTCAAAAGTGGAGTTACTATTTAATACTTTGTACGAATGTAGCTCAGGCTGTTCATGTGTACCTCACAGCCACTGCCTCCATTAGAATGCTTATTATCTTTTTCATGCCTTACGTTGCACATAAAAGGCAACCAGCTTCTTGTACCACCATTTCTTGGTGACAAATGTTCATTCAAGCTTATAGTCTTACGGATTGGTTTCATTCTTAACTGTCATGGCACACTCTAGCAGATTTGTGAGTGCTTTTTGGACTTTATGCATCAGGCCACTTGGTCTTCTGTTCACATATGTTTTAAGTTTTATCAGGTGGGATGTTCTGGTTTCATTTGGAGCCTTCTTTGTGTATAAGGTCCTTCAGACAGCTATTTGAGCTGCAGGCAGACTCCAGTGTTTGTTTGTTTTTTTGGTTTGGTTTTTTTACTTAGGTCTGTTTAGCTTTTTGTTTGCCGTGTTGCCCACCTCCTAGTTGGACTGCTTTTGGACATCTAAAATCCTGTATCCCTCAATAATTGAAAAAAAAAAAAAATAAACAGGATTTTTGTACTAAGCGGGCCATAGATGGGGGGATTTCTTTCCTGCAACCACAGGCTTGGTTGATGAGTCAATTTCTCCCACTGAGCCATTGTGTTCTCCCAGTGAAGGGGAGGGGGGAGCTGTCCCCACTGAGGGAACACTGTGATTACTGCTAGCAGCTATAATGGCCTCTAGCAATAATCATATGTAAAATCCAACAGACTAATTGTACCCTACTTGATCGATCGACCTGCTGGTCCGGCCGAGATTCGAACAGTCTATGGCTGACTCTTGTCTTAAAATTCATCGAGATATTTGAGGCTAACCATGGTCTCACCCGTCACCCTTCTGCTTATGGTCTTGCCCTAAGGCATGCTGGAAGTGGGAGGGTTTTTGCAATACTGATCAATTTTGTTTGCTAGCATACAAATCTTCCTGTAGGTGGCAGTGTAACACAAATATTTCTGAATCTTGCATTCCTCAACTTAAAAAGCATTTTACGGTGTGCAAAAGTCCTGTTTTTCTTTTATTTAATTTTTATCCTTATTTACATGGGAGAGGGAGGGGCAGGACTCCTAGCTTCTTGGACTGCGTTAAAATGTGTTGATAAGGTACATGCTAATTGTGAAACGGTTTTGAGCCACAATCGGATACAGGGTTGGATATCTGCTGCTGCTCCTAATTTTGAGAAATAGATTGCACGTGCACGCCGGAAATAATTACACTGACAACATCTGCTCAGTCCAACTACTTCCTCATTTCTGTTTATTGCAGGGTGGTGCTTAACCTTTCATACACAGAGAATAGGGTATACGTAACTATTATGTAAATGTGGTCATAGTCTAAAAGGCACATCTTGATTGGCTGAAATATAGAAAGAAGGCAGGAACTTGATGCTTGAGGCTTGCTTGTCGCTCGTTATCTCTTACTCCCTCACATGTCCAAGGCCTAGGTACAAGATCCTCACAGCTCGACGGGAGGGGTTGAGAACATCGCTGAACAAACATTTTTGAGTTGAGGACTGCAAAGCCCAGCAGACAAAAGATATACGCACAACACAAATATATATATATATATTCATACAAAATATTTAGAGAGATGAAAAAGTATAAAAGTAGATATGTATAAAATGTATAGAAAAATTTATATATTCAACAGAAACCCAAATAGGCATTTTACCATATCCATCACAATTGGAGAATGCAGAGTAGCAGGAAGATGTCCTTTTTCTGATGCTGGTCCTTCACTTTCTAATCAACAGGCTTGGGAGAGGAGGAAGTAGGGCACTGTGTTATTGACCTTAGCCTTAGATGCTTTGGTAATATTCACAATCCATTGACAGGTGCATTTGACCTGCAATAGACCTTTTAAGCTGCATCAACCTGCTTCATTCTGTTTATGCATTCCCTTTTTGATTTGTATGTCGAGAAAAACAAATTCTGATCCAAGCACAAGACTGACAACACAGACCTTAAATCTCCTGACTTGATGGGCAGAAATACAGCTTAAAGCTAAATTTTAGTCAAAATTGTTTGGGGTATACAGAACCAATGTAACAATGTACCTTTAACCACTTGCCCTCCAGAGGATTTATTCCCCCCCCCCCCCCCCTCCTGACCAGGCCATTTTTTGCGATAAGGCGCTGCATTACTTTAACAATTGCACGGTCATGCAAAGTTATGACCTTTTTTTCCCTACAAATAAGGCTTTCTTTCAATGGTATTTGATCACCTCTGTTTTTTTTTTTTTTTTTTTTTATTATTTTTTTTTTTTTATTTATTTTTTGAGCTATTAACAAAAAGAGACCGATGATTTTGAAAAACAGTATTTTTGACTTTTTGCTATAACACTTATCCAATAAAATTAAAATCAAATTTCGTCATAAATTTAGGCCAAAATCTATTCTGCTACGTCTTTGCTAGAAAAAAAAAAATCCCAATACATGTCAAGTAATTGGTTTATGTGAAAGTTATAGCGTCTACAAATGGTGGTGTATACATACTGGAATTTTTTTAACTTTTTTTTATACTAGTAATGGCGGTCAGCGACTTATAGCGGGCATTCTGACACTGGGTGGGAACTAACTGCCACTGACATCCCCAGTGACACTAATACAGTGATCAGTGCTAATAAAAAGCACTGACACTGTACTAATGATACTGGGCAGGAAAGGGTTAACATCTGGGGTGATCATACGGGTAACTGTGTGCTGAGTGTGTTTTTCTGTGTGCTGTTTTACTACGGAGACATGCTGTTTTGTATCTCATTGCTGTGCAGAGATACAAAACAGCATTTCCATGCTGACAGGCGAGAGACCTGTATTGTTTACGCACAGGTCTCTCCCCTGTCCACTTTCCCCAACGATCGCCGAGTGCTGGCCTGGACCCAGTTATTGACATCTCTAGATGCCAATAGGACCGCCCGCGGGCAGGGTGGCATGTGCACCTCCTACTCGAAAATGCAACTCCCGTATATATACACGTGATTTTGCGTAGCCCTGCCGCCCTGTAGTAGTACTTCTGCTATAGGGCGGAGGGAAAGCAGTTAATGTGCTGGCTTCTGATTACTGTAAAAATCTACCTCTCTGTGATGCTGGGAACAAGCCCTCCCTCCCCACCCCCAGGTTTTGAAGATCTGACCCTACTGGAGCTTAAAAATGGCTGTTACTGTGAAGGACTTGTGCTACTTGCCCTTGCCTTCCTGTTCCCTCAGCCAGTCACAAAACTTCTAGTATTCTTTCACTAGAATGCAACATGGGGAGATGTGTAATTTTCGTCAACGGCACTAAACAAAAATTAATTAGCATTTTTATCAATTGAGGAAAACCTATTAAGAAAATCCATTCTAATTTTCGTCATTGTTAGGGAGGGACATTTCTTGTACCAAAACTTGGTTTTACTTATAACGGCTAAATCTGAATTTATGTAGTTTGTGCAAACCTTAAAACCATAAATAATATGTTAGATCTTTACTCTTGGAGTAATGAGTTTGGAAATTCTAGAGAAATGCTTAAATAATGCGTTACAATTTAACTAAACCCCTTAGATTTTAGTCAACTAAAATAAGACTAAAACAATTCAGATTACTAAAATATGACTAAAAACTAAAATGGCATTTTTGTAAAAAAATACTGACTAAAACTAAATCAAAATTTGACATTAAAATTAACACAGCACAGAACACATTCCATTCTGGGACGAGATTACTAGGAAATTTGTGAATGGATGAGGAGACCAGAGCAGGAGGGTGAACTCTGCAAGTCCATCACATTGGCAGCAGCTGCTATCAACCCTTGCAATGCCAGAGATTCAAAGCTGTGGGAAGTCTCCAGCATCACTGAGAGGTGTATTATTACACTAACAAAATCCAGGGGAACATGGGATACACACAGTTACAGGTACAGTTAGGTCCATATATATTTGGACACAGGCACAATTTTAGATTTTTTCAAGTATTTTCCAAAACATATTCAAGCTATAGTTATATATTGGATATGGGCTGAAAGTGCACACTCTCAGGTTTAATTTGAGGGTATGTACATCCAAATTGTAGGAAGGGTTTAGGAATTACAGCTCTTAAGAATAGCCATACCCTCTTTTTTAAGGGACCTAAAGAATTGGAAAATTGATTAATCATGAATGTTCATTTTTAATATTTTGTTGAGAATCCTTTATGGCAATGACTGCCTGAACTGGAACCCATGGACATTAGACTGGGTTTCCTCCTTTCTGATGCTTTGCCAGGCTCTAACTGCAGCTGTTTTCAGTTGTTCTTTGTTTTTGGGTCTTTCTGCCTTTAGTTTTGCCTTCAGCAAGTGAAATGCATCCTCCATTGGGTTGAGATGAGGTGATTGACTCGGCCATTGCAGAATATTCCACTTATTTTCCTTCAAAAATTTCCCAGGTTGCTTTTGCAGTGTGTTTTGGATCATTGTCCATCTGTACTGTGAAGCGCCATCCTATCAACTTTGCTGCATTTGGCTGAATCTGGGCTGACAGTATATCTCTAAACACTGCAGACTTCATCCGGCTGCTTCTGTCTTCTGTCACATCATCAATAAACACCAATGACCCAGTGTCACTAAAAGCCATGCATGCCCATTCCATCACACTGCCTTCAGCATGTTTTACAGATGACATTGTGTGCTTTGGATCATGAGCTGTTCCAAGCCTTCTCCACACTTTTTTCTTCTCGTCATTCTGGTACAGATTAATCTTAGTTTCGTCCGTCTAAAGAATGCTTTTTCAGAACTGGTCTGGCTTTTTTAGATTTTTTTTTTTTGGCAAAGTCTGATCTGGCTTTTCTATTCTTCAGGCTTATGAATATTTTGCACCTTGTGGTAAACCCTCTGTATTTGCTCTCATGAAGTCTTCTCTTGATTGTAGACTTTGACAATGATACGCCCACCTCCTAGAGAGTGTCCTTCACTTGTCTGGATGTTGTGAATGGGTTTTTCTTTACCATAGAGAGGATTCTGCTATCATTCACCACTGTTGTCCTCCGTGGACGTCCATGCCTTTTTAAGTTGTTGAGCTCACCAGTGTGTTCTTCTTTCCTATACCAAACTGTTGATTTGGCCACGCCTAATGTTGCTATTTCTTTGATGGATTTGTTTAGTTTTTGAAGCCTTATAATGGCCTGTTTCACTTGTATAGACAGCTCCTTTGAACGCATGATGTAGGTTCACAGCAATAGATTCCAAATGCAAATACCACACTTTGAATCAACTCCCCACCTTTTACCTTCTTAATTGATGAAGAAATAATGGAGTAGCCCACACCTGGCCATGAAACAGCTTTTGATTCAATTGTCTAATTACTTTTAGTTCCTTTAAAAAAGAGGGAATGGCTGCTCTTAAGAGCTGTAATTCTTAAACCCTTCCTCCAATTTGGATTTACATACCCTCAAATTAAACCTGAGAATGTGCACTTTCAGCCCATATTATTATTATTATTATTATTATTATACAGGATTTATATAGCTCCAACAGTTTGCTCAGCGCTTTACAATATAATGGGAGACAATACAGCAACAATACAGTTCAATACCACAGGGATAGGAGGGCCCTGCTCCTTGGAGCGTACAATCTAGGAGATCCATTATATAACTATAGCTTGAATGTTTTGGTAAATAACTGAAAAAACTAAGATTGTGCCTGTGTCCAACTATATATGGACCTAACTGTATATTATTACACTGATGCTGTATGCCCTATTTTTTCACTACAACTTTAAATAATGTATTTCATCTTGTGTATTTAGCAGTTTGCCTGGGGTTTAGCTTCAAAGCTTGCAAAGGAATTTCTTCTTGCCTTATTTTGAAGAAAGACACCCTTTTGCAACTTTTGTCAGATCTGCTAACAATACCTATAAACCTGTATGGTGATGGTTGTCTCAATGCCTATCTTAGCATTCTTGGCTACAAGTTACAAATTTTGAGAGAAGCATGTCAATACTGTCTGCATTCAGTGACATTATATGCTGCTCCCAATGTTTCTATGATGCTGAAAATGCTGTTCGTCTTGACGCTTGTATTCTTGGAGCCTTGTTTGCAGTAATAATTCCTGTACTGAGAGCTTAGCTACTTTAGGAATACCAGTGACATTAAAAGTGAGTTGGAAATGGATCCAAAGTGTTCTACTGTTTGCAAGACAAAAGGTGAATGGATGACCTCTTCTTGTTCCAGTTTCGGGATCCATGTTTAGTGAAAAATTATGAAAACCTACCAGGCTTATTTGTGAATAACTGAAAAAACAAAGATTTTTAAGCACATTTTAGCTGAGAACATGGTTTATAGTATTAAAGTCCTAGAATGTGATTTATGTAATTATAGTTGAAAAAGCATTACAAGAGTCTACATTAGGTTTTTCCTTATAATGTAAATTTTGCACGGACACTTGCGGTTGTCAGTAGTTACATAAATTGTAATTTAATTCACTTTGTGTTTCTGTTTGATTGCACGATCTAGAAGAGAGAATTATGCAGTACTGCATTGTGTTATAGTGTCAATATAATTAAAACATGTTAATTTCTTTATAGGTTAACAGAAAATATGAGAAGGTTAAGTAAGTACTTCATTTACCTTGCTAATTACCGTGCTAATTGTTATCCTGGTGTGGTTTTATTGTATTAGAAATGTGATTTTATTATGGAGTTTAAGAACCTAAAAATTTGGTTTTATTAGGAAAGTATTACTGAGGAGTATATTGAAGAAAATGTTAATTTAATGCAGCTAAAGTGGTGGTAACATATAAGTGAAACCTGCATTTTATAATGCCATTTTCTATCTAACACAGCTATAAAGAGACTGCAAATCGCACGGATCCCACCTTACACTTGCTCTTTTTGGTTTAGTTTCTTAAAAGTAGAAGGGAAGAAACATTAATATTCCTATTTTTGGATTGAATTAGATTTTCCCAAGTCATCTTTCAGGACAGCTTCACATGAGAGAGAGGCTCCTCCCACCAGGAAACACCCGATCCACTTTTTCCCCTACAAGTAGCCTCTCTCACCAGGGGATCCTCAGTATTAGTGTTTCCTTTGGCCAGGAACGACTCCCGTTTTTTTTTTTTTTTTAAACAGAGGTTTCCTGGATGGGGCTACCCCTTTCTCTCTTCTTTTCAGCAAGGCAGGGACCTTGCAGGGTGGCCTCATTCAGAGTTCCCTATGTATTGGGGGAGACAGCACCCCTCTTCTAGGGTCCTGCGGAGCTCACCAGGGGGCTAGAGCCCTCTCTGCCGACCTATTGGGCAAGGGCCGCTACCCTGTGTGGCATACCCTACCTTTCCTCCTCTGCACGCCATCTCTGATGAGAAGGTCGCGGGACCCACGAGCGTCACTTCCGGCGACACTCTTCGTGCCAGAACTGACTTCTGTCTTCGAGAGGTCTGCCGACAAAAGGAAAGGATTTCCAGTCCCCAGCAGGCAAGCGGGACGGAAGTTTTTTTTTTGTCCCAACAGGCAGCACGCAGTGAGAGAGACCAGATTTCAGGGACAGAAGAAAAGCTGGGTCTCAAAAAGAGGAAAGGAGAAGGGAAGCTTTCTCTTCAACCCTAACCAGGACAAAACCAAAACTCAATCCAAGTACTGCCAGAGCCAGGTGGGAGGAAGACTGGGACACTTCCACACGCAATGGCTACAGATTACCCAGGATGCATTCATCCTAGACACAATTCAAAAAAGCTACAGGATAGAATTTTCACAACTCTCCCCTTGCAGGTTCTTTGCGACTGCACTGCCAAGGGAGGAGGGAAAGCTGGATGCACTTGTGAACCTCCTGGAAGAAATGCTTCAACAGAATGTGGCCAGTCAGTTGGAGGAAGAAGAAAAGGGAAGGGGATTCTACTCCCATTTTTTTTCTAAGAAGGAAGATGTCTGGGAAATACAGAATGCTACTCAACCTAAAGAAAATTAATGAATTTGCATGGAGACAATCTACACGACGAAAGAAATCCTCCCTCCCAGAGTATTCATGGCATCAATAGACCTAAAATATGCATACCTTCACATCCCAATAAGGAAGGAGTCAAGAAAATTCCTAAGGTTCGCGCTAAAGGGAAAGAACAGAACGATCTTGTTTCAGTTCAATGCACTTCCCTTCGGTCTATCTTCAGCACCAAGGATATTTACGAAAATTCTAGTGGAACCTGCAAGCCTTGAGGCTAGAAGGGATAAACTTTATCTCCTACTTGGACAGCCTACTCTTGTTTGCGGACACGGAAAGAGCTCTGGAATGCCATGTGGAGCATATGTCCTATGGATCCTATGCTTTCCTTCTTGGAAAACATAGGATGGCTAATAAATACGGAGAAATCACAGTTAGTGCCTCCCAACAGAATCACATATTTGGAATACATTCTTGATTCCACAACCACCTGCTTATATCTAACACCAGAAAAAGCACTCCGACTACAAGAAGACACGAGGAGCCTCCGGGGCACAGCAATTTGCACAATCAGAAACACCATGAAGCTCGGCGGCCATATGACAGCAGCCATATGGGGGGTACAATGGGTGCAGCTACACTCCAGAACGATACAGAATCACGTCCTCTCCCACTGGGATGGCAGCCAAACGTCTCTGGATTCCAGCATTTACCTCATGCGCAAAGTGAGAGAATCATTGGAGTGGTGGGGAAACATCCTCACGCTAGAAGCCGGGAGAAGATGGAAACAATCCAACCCAACAAAAATCACCACAGGCGCAAGCATGCGGGGGTGGGGCACATACATGGAGGGCAAGTGGGACCCGGAAACTGCAAAAAAGTAATCAAACTTCAGGGAATTTTTTTATATTTACGTGTTTTGCATATAGTCACTTTATTTCTAGCGCTGCATATATTTTTTCTATGGTTTTATTTGAGGATTAAGGGGTTTATCCTTCTATGCTAGCAGCTGTTTTGTTTCTGTGCGCTCTCACTCATATTGTTTTCATAAAACTTCAGGGAATTACTGGCAGTTTTCAGGGTGCTTTCGGCCTTTCAGGAGAAAATAGAAGGGAAAGAGATCCAGATCCTGTCGGACAACATGACAATCATCGCATACTTGAATAGGCAAGGAGGCACGAGGTCCCCAAGACTATTGGAATTGGCGGAAACCCTCCTGAGCTGGGCAGAAATAAACCTAAAATCAATCATGGCGGTCCTTCTGAAGGGAGACCTAAACCTGTTAGTGGACAAACTGAGTCGGGAGGAAATCAACCAGTCAGAATGGTGCCTCAGCCACACAGCGTTCGCCCAAATCTGCAGCAGATGGGGCACTCCCTCCATAGATCTCTTTGCCAGCAAAAGGAATGCAAAACTAGAAAGTACTTCTGCCTTCGAAGAGACCCCCAGGGTGCAGGGACAGATGCACTGGCCCAGCCATGGGAAGAGGACCTCTTTTACGCTTTTCCACCGTTCAGACTACTACCAAGAGTGGTGCAGAAAATACAGACCTCTCAGGCCAAAGTCATCCTGATCGCTCCGTTCTGGCCCAAATGTTCTCCTTCCTGAAGAGGCTGAGCGTAACGGACCCGTGGACGATACCACCCACGAACGACCTACTAGTACAGGGGGCAGCAGTACACCCACACCCGGAAAAGCTGTCCCTGACAGCATGGCTTCTGAGCGGAGCAGCTTAGCTAAAAAATGCTCATCAGAGAGTGGTTGCCACCATCTTGGATGGGTGGAAAACGTTTACAAATGCCATTTACGACAAAATCTGGAGGAAGTTTTCCTCCTGATGAAATGGAGATGAGTCGCCAGGAGCTCCTATCCTAAATACAGTACTTGAATTCCTTCAAGACAGGGCAGAGCTTAGCAGCTAATACACTCAAAATGCAAGTATCTGCCCTGTCTAACTTTCTGGAGTTAAAGTTAGCGGAGTATCCCCTGGTGGTCAGATTCCTGAGGGCCATCTCCAGACGCAGAGTCCTGTGTGCGCCTAAAAACCCTCTCTGGGATCTAGGCACAGTTTTAAAAAGTTTCCAACAGGAGCCATTCGAACCCTTGGTAAAATGCTCTCAGGCACTTGACCCTCAAAGCCACCCTCTTGATAGCCCTAGTCTTTGCTCGCAGTCAGTGAACTGCAAGCTCTGTCAGTGATAGAGCCTTACTGCACAATCCTGTTGGATAGGATTATCCTCCATACGGATTCGGCATTCCTACCATAGGTTGCGTCGCATTTCCATAGAACACAAGAAATTGTAATACCATTCTTTTGCGGGAGCCCGAGCAACACCAAAGAAAGAGACTACAAAAAAATTGATGGAAGAAGATGCCAAATCGCGTACATGGAGTGCACTAAAGCATGGAGACGTTCGTCCAGCCTCTTCGCCTTATTTCAAGGACCAAGGAAGGGTTCCAATGCCTCTAAAGGCACCATCACAAGTTGGATAAAAGAAGCCATCTCAGAAGGATACAAAACCCGTCACTGGCACCACCACCTGGCTTGAAAGCGCACTCGACTAGGACCACCGCAGCTACTTGGGCAGAGAACTGGCGCCTCCCCCGGAAAAATCTGCAGGTCCGCAACATGGTCCAGCTTAGGAACCTTCGCCAGGCACTACCGGTTGGACCTGATCACCAACTAGACATATGCTGTTCCTACTGTTATCTTTGTGCTTTATCCTATGCCTTCGGTTATATTCCTGTACTCCCCTGGGGAGAGAGGCTACTTATAGGGGAAAAAGTGGATCGGGTATTTCCTGGTGGGAGGAGCTTATCTCTCATGTGAAGCTGTCCTGGAAGATTCCTGGAAATACAGTTAACAGGTAAATAACTGCGGTTTTTTTTTTTTTTTTTTTTTCTATTGACAACTACTGGTAGATTTAGGCCAAACACTGGAAATCCTGGAGATCTCTAAAATGAACCAATAAGTGCAGGTTTTCCCAGTTAAGTATACTGGTGTTCTCTCTGTGACAGTTCTGCATTCACCACTGACAACACCTCTGTATTCCAGTTAGCACAGGATTCTCCTACTCAAGTCAGGCCAGTATGTCTGCAGATTCCCTGTGATATTATCAGAACCAGAGGGGGTGGTAGCTTTATCCTGACACAATTTATAAAGACTTAACTCTCATGCAGCAGAGATGCTTCCAAAGGAGGGTCAACCAGTTAAGTCCAAAGGTTCACATACTTTTTCCTCCCTGCACTGTGGATGTTTACATGCTATGTGCAATTAAACCATGGCAACATCTAATGTTTGTGTAGTATTATGTTCAGCAGACTGTGTTCCTCTATTGTTGTGACTTAGATGATGCTCAGAGCTCATTTTATGCCCAATTCATGCAAAACTCCACGGGGGTTCACATACTTTTTCTTGCAACTGTATGCAGTAAAGCATGCTTGTTATACTCACTGTGGAACTTAAGGGGTTAATCCTCTGCATTGTGTAAAAAGGATGTTTGATCCTGTCTTTTCTGATTCTCCTCTTCTTCTACTGCTCCCAATCTACTGATGGAACAGAGAGCTTGGGGGCAAGCTGCACATGCTCAGTTTGGTGTGTTTTGCTAGAGTTTTTTTTTTTTCTTCTTTGGGAGAGTGCATGTGATCAGCACTGTTCAGACAGAGGGTCAGGGGTCATGC